CGTCTCACATAGAGCACACCGTATCTGCTTCTACGAAAGCACTTGGATTTATAATTAGACAAGGTCGGGATTTCCGTATAAAAACCTTGTTTTTTGCGTATGTGAGATCCAAGCTTGAATATTGCTCGCTTGTTTGGAGCCCTTTTTATGATAATCATGTTAGATCGATCGAGGTAGTACAGAGAAAATTCCTAAAATATCTTGTATATCGCATTGATGGTATATATCCGGAGCGTGGTTGTAACCAAAACATATTACTTAGTCGGTTCGGTCTTAATTCGTTAGATTTTAGGAGACGCTACTATTCACTTAAATTCTTGCATTCTCTTTTACGTAATGATGTCGACTGTCCAGAAATTCTTAACCAACTTTATTTTCTAGTTCCTAGAACGTCAAATCGTTCTTGGACTACTTTTAACACTGCTATAGCTAAATCTAATATCTTATTGAAGTCACCACTTGTCAGGATATTTTATAATTATAATTCTATTTGTAATAGGTGTGACATTTTCAACTGTTCTCTTTCTGAGCTTTTTCTTGCAACTAAGAACAGGTTTATTTAATTGTTATTATATCTAATGGTAGCTATTAGAATATTTGCATGAATTAGTTTTTGTTATTTTGTTTTCTTTTTAGTAATGCTGTGTTCTAGGTGCATCCATCAGTTTTATTTTGTTATGTATTGTTTTTTTTTCTTTCTTCAATTTAATACTTGTACTGGATTGTCCTGTAAATGGTTATATTATTGGACAAATAAAGTGTTATTATTATTATTATTTCTTTCATATTTTATTCATGGGAATGGTTTGCTGTTTGTCTTCATATAAGCGCTCTTTTACTCTTTCAAGTAATATTTTACTATTATTTGTATTTTTGCAAACATATCCAAAATTCGATGCAGTTATTTTTCTTTCGTTTTTCGTACCATAGATTAGATTGCCGATGTTTCACTGTCGAAATATTTAACAGCTCTCTTTCCGTCTCTTTTAAATTCAGTTTTTCTAAAAATAGTAAATATGTATTGTATTTCCATAGTTTGTACTTTCCCGTTCAAAATCGTCTATGGTTCCTCCAAATCGACTGATAAAACGTCTCCATTACATTCGGAATGCGGCAGCTGATTACTAACTTTGGTGCTTAAGGATTTTACAGTTTTATGTATGTAAAAGAATGCTTTGAAAATTAGTACCAACCTTATTTTTTAGTTTTCTATTCCACGTTTCTTTAACGAGCATATCATGCTCGGTGTCATTCTTTAATCGGTTTCTTTTTCCTCTACTTGCTAGAGCAGACGTTCCACACATAATTAAATTGTTTACAATTTAAAACCAGCTTTCCACATTAGATTTCCTACTCCTTTCGCAGGATTTTCCGTGTATGGATAAAACTGACTACCATAAAGGTAATATGGGAATCAATTTTTTTAAAATGACCATCAAAAAGTTGTGGTTGATAATAAACATTACGTTTTCTTGACAAATTTACTCTGTCTATTTCACGGAGCTGTCCTTCATAAATATTATAAAACCTTTTATGGAATGGGCTGTTGCTATCTCGTATTGTTTCAGATTCACCTGTTTTTTTTTTGGTTAAATCCATCATTGAAAATATGAGTGCTCACTCAATGTCAGGAGTTCTCGAATGATATCGCACTTTCAAAATATTTTGAATGTGTGATGATAACAAAATGTTTAAACCAAATATTTATATCATTTTTATTGGTGATATCTTCTGATCTTATTTCTCTAAGAACGTCATCAGATTTAATCCCCTGTATACATTCCGATATCAGTTTACCAGAAGCCACATTGAAACGTTCTTTTAATTTTGAAGCCTTCTTGTACTTAATATAATAACTTAATAACTTTATAAATCTTTTCTTGTCGTGATTATAATTAACAGAACTAAACACATGGACCTTGTGATTTAGTTTAGATGAAACTTTTGTTATTAATAATATAAATACTATACAATTATTGTATGCACAATAGGCAGAAACTTTTAAAGCATCTTTTGAATATCTTCTTTGAAATTAACTACGCAAACGTTATTGTTGTCCATACACCGGCGATTAATTTGCCTTCATTCCATATAGATCGTAATACCTCATCAGAAATATCAAATGACCCTTCTAGATACGTGCAAGATTTATAAGAGCGCTTCCATTCAACAGTTTTACAATTTTTTGCATGTTCAGGTAAAATTCGAATTTCTTTTGGAGAAGGATTTTCAAATTTTTTTATAGAATTTGGAATTTGTTCATTATCAGTGGACACATTTTCTATAGAAGTATTATTAACTGAGCTCTCAGTTATCGAACATGTGAAGATCTTTTTATTAATGGAAGATGAATCAAGTTGCAAATTGAGACGCAAATAATGTATAATTGCTTGGTTGGTACATTGGGAACAGGTGAAATATCTTTCAATACATCATCAGGGGCACAGCACCTACTATCATCTTTTTGGAACATTGAAGGCACTGTCATCATTTTATTCGTATTCCGTACCCAGAATGTTTTAAGTCTATATCTGTTTCTATAAGAACTTTTTTCTCGAAACGCTACATAATTCAGAGAAAACAGATGTTTGTAGTCAGCATAAAGCTAATATCAATATTGTTGTTTTTTCAAAAATTTACTATCCTCTCATAATGGTCACTGATGTCTTCTCATAACGGTTACTGGTGAACTTTGTAGGAAGAGATAATTTAAGCTATTCATGTAGAGAAATTTAACAGATATCGTCAAATTATTTTTATAAGCATTTTTTACATAAGGGTTGCTGCCGCCTTTAATACGTTCCGGGCATATTAAAAAACATACGGGAATTTGTAGAAAGAGGTAATTTAAGCTATTCACGTAGAGACATTTAACAGACACGTCAAAATATTTTGGGTGGCTGCCTACAAATCATACAAGAGAAATCGCTGGAAATAGTTTTCAAGTCCGTAGCTCAGCCGCCAGGGGGCGCAATATACATACCAAAACATAGAGTAGATTTTTTCTCAGAAATGTTTCTTATTCAGGTATATTAAATAGTACAAATATGGATAGAAGGATTCATTGTGCATACTTTTGTTATTGACTTTGTCTATCTCTCGACAGAAGGGTGAGGAAAGCCCCTAATGTCTGATCAGTAAAATGCATTTTTTTAAAGATTGGCTCATCAAAAACCTATAGTGATATCTCGTTGGAAAGGTTTTTTCATGCTTTATCTCGTGGTGAATGCGTAATGTCATTTACCTCAATATGGAAACCTATAGATGGTGGTGTTATTTCAAAAGAATGCCGTTTTATGAATTTTTCTCAAAAATTTTAAATGCAATGCTATAGTTTTCTTTTCATAAATGAATTCAGCAGAAAAAATTGATGAATATATAAGTTTGAAATTTTTAACGGAAGTGTTGCTTATTTGTTGGTGCTATTTATCCAAGTTTAGGTTGTTCCACGTTTCCTTAAAAAAGTGAAATAACAGGATAAAACTTTTTATTGGTTAGTTGGAAGAGCGTCATAAAAACAGTTACATTTTGACGGTTCGATATATTTTTTTGTTATCAAGTTATTTGCAAATTAGTGAGCAAAAAATAAATAATGATAATGAATTGAGGAACAAGGCGCTAACGAAAAGATTTTTAATCACCAAAACAAAATGCGTTTATAAAAGAACCTACCTAGACCAACGCAAATGAGTGAGTCAATAACAATCTTGAAAATAATAGAAACAATAACAAACAGATATTGAGATTATGTAACGAAAGAACAATTAAATTTTAACAAAAGTAAAGATGTTTATAAATGCTCGAAATGCATACCACTATTTTCAATACAGGAATTTAACCTTCGCTGCGTGCTGCGTGCTTAGGTAGGTTCTTTTATAAACGCATTTAGTTTCGGTAATTAAATATCTTTTCGTTAGCGTCGTGTCAATTCATTTCATTATTTATTTTTTGCTCACTAATTTGCGAATAACTATAACAAAAAAAGATATCGAACCCTTTTTTAATTTTAGTTATTTTTGTGCTCTTCAAATTAACCTATAAAAAGTTTTATCATGCTATTTCACTTTTTTAAGAAAACGTGAAACAACCTAAACTTGGATAAATAACGCCAATAAATAAACAACACTTTCGTTAGAAATTTCAGACTTATACTATATTCATCCATTTTTGTGCTGAATTCATTTATGTAAAGAAAACTATAGCATTGCGTTTAAAATTTTTGAGAAAAATCTATAAAACGGCATTCTTTTGAAATAACACCATCTATAGGTTTTCTTATTGAGGTAAATGACATTACGCATTCACCACGAGATAAAGCATGAAAAGAGCTTTCCAAGGAGGTTTTGATGAGCCAATCCTTAAAAAAATGTATTTTTCTGATCAGACTTTAGGGGCTTCCCCCACCCTTTCTGTCGAGATATAGAACAAAATGCCAATAACAAAAGTTATGCGCAATGAATCCGGCTATTCATTTTTGTACTACTTAATATACCTGAATAGGAAACATTTCTGAGAAAAATTCAACTCTGCCACCTACTCCCCACGTTCCGGTGCCATGGAGTGCGAAAACCCCGAAACCAATTATTTAAGACATATAATTTTTTTCCCCAAGTACCCATAATGCAAACTACTGTCACTACAATTTCATGTATTTAATTTTTTCATGTGAATAATGATAATACAACTAAACTATTGTTCATAGTTCTAAACTTCTCTACCAAATACCGAAAAATAAAAGTAGTTCGTAGTTCCTCAAATAATTAGATTTTTTTGTATTTAACTAAAATTACAATATAAGCGTATATAAAAAAAAATGGTGATCAATAGTTACTACAACTTACTTTCATATATTCACCTGATTTTTTTGAATTAAAATCAGGTGAAATTAGGTATCTTAAAAAACATCAGTTATTAATAAAAATCGTTTTTAATTTTCAACTGAATCTTCAAAAAGAGATCTAAATGAGAAATAGATAAATAAAATAATAAATAATACTTACTACCACATTAATTTTTTCTAGAGTCTGTTTAGTTTGTCGTAACTCATCTTCAGATTTCTTAAGCTTATCTTTCAGCCTCTCATTTTCTGCTAGCTGCTGTTCATACAGTTTTTTGTAATCGATTTCTCCATTTTCATTCCTAATATCCGAAATACTATTTACACGAGATCTACTATTCCTTTCCGTTCCGCTCTGAAATAAAAAGAAAATATAGTTTACAACTTTTTTCAAGTGAATATTTATTTTGGTTAAGTAAAAATAAGTTCATATCTTTTCGAGAGTATTTTCTGACGTGATGGTTACCAATCACGAGTTATTTCGTATGTGGTCAATTTAAAATATTAATTGTGCTTAAAGTTTCTTTAATAGTCGATAGGAGACCTTATTCTAAGAAAAAAAATTTATATAAACATTTGTCTTAGAACGTCTCGTTTTCGAAATAGTGTTAAAATTCAAGATGTTTGATATAAATGGGCTAAAGATCTAACTAATTCTATTAAAAAATGTAGCATTATTGTTTAATGAACATTCTAAGAGTCTAAGACTATTCTAATCACAAAAAAAATCTTTTATACTCCAATCGAATTAGGGTTTGAACGTGAAAAAATTATTAGTAGACATTTTATTGCACTTTATGACGGGGAAGGGTATGTAGAATGATAATATCAGAAAAGTAACTCGAAAGAAGTGACGCTAAGTTGACAAATTGCTAATAAGTGGCTTGACGTGTTTTTTCACTTTTTTACTGTCCATGAAAATCTAAACGACATATTGTAAAATTAATTGTTTTATGTTGTAGGCAATTAAGTTAACTATAATTTAGGGTAGCTGAAGTCACTTTTCACCTATTTATTACCTGTAAAATAAAGGCCATAGGCGGAAAAATCAGTTTTCGAAAATTGCGCATTATTATTGCAAAAAGTGATGAAATTTATGCAAAAGACGGTCAATCCAAAGACCAAGGGTCAGGCAAAATCCAGTAGGGAATTTGCTCGTTTTGCATTAAATAGAGCTTATTTTTACGGTAATTTTTTAAAAAAAAGATAAATCACCTACACCTAATTGTTCCTAATATAACATTTTTTTATAAAGTTAATTGTTAATTATTAATATTAATAGTTTGTCAACAATACTTTTTGTTGTATTAATAAAAAAATTGTTAAAAATTTCAAATTTTAGTTTGTTTTCCAAGCTGCCTGCATTAGATTTTCAGAATTACTGATTTTATTTTAATAATATATTTTTTGTTTGTGTTTATTTTTAACTTTTAAATAAAAACGTATCTCGAGATGAAAATTAGATTTTTTAACTTCATCAGTTATTCATCGTTTACTTAGATTATAGTAGTATAGCATTGGGCATTCTAAGCTACTTCAAGGTCACCACCGGGCTGCCGCCATCTGAAGCTAGGACCAGGTCTCCAGCAGCAGCTCCATGGTCACGCTGAAGAAGTGTCAGTGGGGTGCGGGGGTGGGGGAGCTGGATTGCAGAAGAAGCCGGGGTCCGTCATCGGCAATGACCACCAGGAGGTCGGCATCGAGGAGCGTGACGTCAGCGGCGGCAGCAGGTGCGTGCATGAGCAGCGGCGGGGGGCAGCGGGGGGAAGGCGCCTGGGGCGGCAGCGGGGTGCCGGCGTGTGGGGTAGCAGCTCGATGCCGGCATGTGGGGCGGCAGCGGGCTGCGGGGGGCGGCAGTGGCGACGGCCTCTTGGTACCTGGTCTCTTTTTGTTATAAGGTAGAAAATATAAGAAACACGATAGTTAAAAAATGGCAACATGGTAACGTAAGCGGTCTGCTATTTATCGAGCTAAGTAAACAGTCTCGAGCCCCCCAAGGTTATATTTATGCATGTTAGCAAGTTATCTGTGACACTAATATAAATATTGTGATGATTTATTAGATATATTTTAAGAAATACTTGGTAAGAACATGGGCTCATAGCGGATGTCGGCCAAACATAAAGAGCGGAATGTGTGTGAGAAGTTAGAGTATATGAAAGCAGGTGCGACTGTTTGTTGGCTGCTTTAAACATGTCACCACAAGTTTGTCTAGAGTCTGGAGACTGGAGAGTAGTATAAACATTAAAGAATGTGGGTAATAAATAATGTGATAGCTTATTATGTTATTGTTGTTTCTTGTTAAGCACATGGTTCTATAGCGGATGTCGGCAAGACACTAAGAGCAGAATGTGTGGATGGTGATGATGATGTCATAGTCATGAGGTCATCTATTTTTTGCTGGGCAAGCATTTACAAATTGAATAAAATAGCGATTAGGAGCATCTCCAGCTCATTCGAGTTTGAGACGTTGAACATTGAAATTACACATCGAAAACAATTATCAAAAGAAAAAAATGTTTGCTGCCATTAACAAACAAGCATTAGTGAAGCCATTCATTAGAACCAGTCAACTAGAAGTTGATGTAAAATACAAAATAGAAGACATCGACATTGTCTTGGGCCAGTTTGGACCACGAGTAGTAGTGACATTGGCAGAGGGCAAAATCAGTTTACCCGAACGCTATATAAAAATAATTTCGGCTTCTGACATTACCGAATTGAAGAAATTAGTTCAGGGGAAGCCTGTATATCTAGTGAGCAAGGGCATGGTTGCCAATACCACAAATTTGGAATTTGTGGAATAACAAAAAACAAAAATATGGAGGCTGAATATATGAAAAGGTTAAATGAATTCCTGGCAAATATCCAATGTTTAAAGGAAGACATCAAGTACATTGAGATTGTGAGGAAGATACGTAATGTCCACATCACCGATCAAAAAGAGGGTCCAGTTCAACGATCATACCAACACCCGGTACATAATCCACTGGGCTTACGCCCATAGGACAGCTAGATGTGGCGAGCGCTGGATGCACGACGCAATCGACCGTGTTCGATTTCAAGAAAGAATAAAAAAATTATTTTATATTATTGAACTTGTACTTGTAAACAAAATTAATCAAATTTAACCTCTTCCATATGTTCTGTATAATATATGTATATATGATATAAATATTTAATAAAATAATTAATTAAAATTATTTTCTTTTATTTTCCCTATTTCCCCTTAAAATTAAAAAATAAATAAAAATCTGATATATTTTTAAATTCATTTATTAAATTAAATAAATACAGTGATATATACTTAATAATAAAAAATTAAATATATAATACATTAACAAATATTTAATAATAGTGATTTTTTTTACAATATCAAGATAACAAAAAAAATTAAACAATGCTATTTTTATCAATCCAGCTGTTGTGAGTGCTATCAAATCCTAGCCATTTCACTAGAACTCGATCACCCTTCTTCCTCACTATCCTCTCCATAAGGTAGACATCAGGATGCTTGACCTTCTGCAGCTCTTCCGTATAGAAACATCCCTTTATTGGCTGACTTTGAGCATCAGACAGTAAGTATGTAACAGGATCAGTCCTCTTAATACTGGATACAGTGAAAATTTCATTGGACCAGTTAGGGGTGTAACCCTTATCGAACACCCCTCTGTATTTGCTTATTCTCACCCGGTCTCCTACTTTGAACTTTGACAGACGTGAATATGTAACCGTTGGATAATTATAAACCGAACTCTGAAGTATCTTTTCATTGCTCTTGTTCACGGACGCGGGCTTCATTCCAATGGTCCTATGCTTGGTATTGTTATATTTTTTCACAATTTTATCTAACACATCGTACCAGCGAAAGGTACCGTTAAAGCTGAATTCTTTATACATTATGGATTTTAGTGTCCGATTAACACGTTCCCCAATCGAACTTTTCTTGCTACTATACGAGGAGTAATGATTAATATTATAAAATTAAATTTCCGCATTAATGCTTGAAAGTGTTTATTATAAAATTGGATTCTTCGATGCCGCCGTCCCTCTCGGTGGGGTCGGAATCCATATAGTTATCGCTATCGGCATTACTCGTTGTCTCTTCTATCTCACTCTTTGGTTCGGACTTCTTTATCTCTTGTTTTACGACGGGCAAGGTCGACAGCTGCGACTGAGGTGTTGATACTTGTTTGATATTCGTAGCAATCGTTCGAAGTGGGGCCGTGATGTGTGCAAAAGATTTTTCAACCAGCTAATCATGACGCTTGAGAGCCTCCAATTTTCGTTTGATGGACTTTCGGGCCTTGATAATGTTATTAGTGGTAGCGGTCGCGTCCATAATGATACACGGCTCCCGAATGACTAATGATAATGCACACCTTTACAGGTATATATACTCATCAAAGCCTTTACGGTAGCGCCGACCGTTGGCAATGTCGCTATCCTTGACTATCACTAGGAATCCATATCTGTCTGTCCAGCATAAGGAGCACGTGTTTGAAATCCTCGAATTTCATATCTGTATTCACATGATCGTTATAAACATGTCAGAGATTGAGGTTATCCTGCTTGCATAGTACCATAAAGTTGGCATTGTCTCTCACCAAATGCTTCGGTATACGCGTGTAAGTCTGACAGAGATAGAAACAATCCACCCGCTTATGNTACGCTGCACTAGGCAGAATGTATATGCTATATATAAATGGTATATTGTTAATAGAGATAAGCTTGATGATTGTATTTATTTATTTTAAATAAAGTGGAAAAATATTGCTGAACTCTGTGTGTTTCATTTCTCAAATAGTGAGTGGGGTGGGGTGGGGAGAGAGAAGTGGTGGAGGGAGAGAGGGGAGTGAGACGCTAAAAGCGCGTCTGATAGCATAAATCCAATTCAGTATATTAGTAGTAGCAGTAGCAGCAATGAGTGAGCACAAAGTTATAACAATTAGTGAATTATTAAAGGAAGAATTATGCACATGCAAATTGTGCACCGTCCCACCATATGTATGGGATATACTAAAGACAAATAAAGAGGAGAAGGAGGAGAAAGATGTACCTCCAAAACTAATCCCATTTCGGGAAATATTAAAAGGTATGTTAACGTTTGTTCAATATTAAAAAAATTGTATCTAAAAATTGCTCTCTCATTATTACAGACAAGGAGCTGTACCGTAGGCTCTTAGAAGCCCACGGATGCCTAGAGACCAGCACCACAGCGGGGCAAAATTAATATTTTGTTATATATTTTTAAAATTAATTATTATTATATTTTTTATTAGATATTTTTCTCTTTTTATTTTTTCCTTGTCACACTCATATTTAAACAATATTAATGTTTTTTTATTATTACTT